ACTACCTAAAAACAATTAAATTAGCATCTGTACTGTGGGTGTCATTGAAAACCAAGAAGTCAGGACTAGAGAGGTGGCTCAGCAGTTAAGAGTGCTTGCTGCTTTTTCAGAGGATCTGAGTTCGGTTCCCAGCATTCCTCATAGAGTAATGGCCTATTAATTCAGCACCAGGGAATCTGATGTTCTCATCTGGTTATCTGTGAGCTGTGTGTGTGTGTGTGTGTGTGTGTGTGTGTGTGTGTGTGTGTGTGTGCCTGCAGGTGTGTTTGGATGATGTTAAGCCTAAGCCAGTTTGGAAAAGATAAATCATGAGTATGGCATGCACTTGTGTGCATACATACACACAAATGTTACTGAATCTTAAAAGACTATTATATTTAAAAAGAGAAAAACACCCAGGTGTGGTAGTGTGCCCCTTTAATCCCAGCACTCTGGAGGCAGAGGCAAGTGGATCTCTGTGAGTTTGAGGCCAGACTGTTTCAAAATCAAAACAAAATAACAAAAAAGAGAAAAGCTAGAAGTCTTTTTTAACATTTGTGTCTTATTTGTCCTTGGCAGACGGATGGGTTTAGGTATCCCAGGCCCTCCTCAGTACCACCTTCTCCATCAGGATCTCAGACCTCCAGTCCTCAGAGCAGCGACGTGGAAGATGAAGGAGATGAGGATGAAAGATATGATGAGGAAGAAGAGGCTGAGAGGGATCGGTTAAATATCAAGTCACCGTTTTCTCTGAACCACGTTCCAAAGGGGAAGAAAAAGCTTCATGGGGAATATAAGAGCTGAATCAGAGCGAACAAAGTAAGAATGATTCTCAGAGAGAGTGACAATTCTTGATTCCTTTCTCTGAAAATCACAATGGAATATATTCTCTGCCCATTAAGAAAGGAGGTGATTTAGTGAATGACAGTTTTGTAATTCTGAATAAAACATTGTAATTCTGAATAAAACATATATTTTTATCTTTAAGTCTTGTTTTCCCTGTAAATTTAAAGATAAGAAGAGTTTTTAAAGTGGCAGGACTAGAGGCATTTTGAAGATGGTTAATTTGTTGGAAATGGTGATTCACACCTATAATCTTAGCTCTCAGAAGGCTTGGGCAGGAGGCTTGCCATGATGTCAAAGCCAGACTGGGTTAAAGAGTAAGACCTTACATTAAAAAAAATGGTTAACATAAGTGACAAGAAATTTTTAGCTACTTATTTTTTTACAAAAATAATCAACATAATCCTTTGATTAATATTTATGAAGCTTCTATACTCCAAGCAAATCTCTACCAGGAAAGATTTAATCTTAACTATGATTGCATGACTCACATATTTTAGATAAACAAGACTTTGTTATTCATTTGCCATTTGCATTAAAGCCATGAATTTCTATTTTGCTCTGCAGATGATTGTCAAAATCCACAAGAAAACAAACTACCCCAAAACCATATTCTGATATATACCAATGTATATTTACTACATGACATCTGCTATCTAGAATTTGTGTCCAAATCATTGCTAGTAAGATGTTACCATCACTGTGTGTCACCTTATTGTAACAGTGCTTTTGTTGTTTAAACAGAAATTTCAATCTTTTATAGATAATAAATTGCCAAATCCAAATGAGTAAATGTGTCACTATGGATTTTATTTTCTTTGGTATATCTTTCTTAAAATGTTTCAGACATCAAAATAACACATGTGATGTACTTGTCATGAATAGTAGCTAACATATTGAAAGGAATCTCTCTCCTTTTTCCTTCTTTGAGACAAGTTTTTTCTGTGTGGTCCTGGATGTCCAGAAACTCCCTCTGTAGACCAGGCTGGCCTTGAGCTCATGGAGATACTCCTGCCTCTGCCTCCCTGAGTGCTGGTATTAAAGGCATGTGCCACTACCACCCAGCTGAAAGGAATCCTTTAAAAAGAATTAATTTTTAAGTAGTAGTAGAAATGTACTTCAATGTGGGAACGATTTCTCTAACATATTCTGTGATGTGTTTAAGGGGAAGTTGAATGACTGCACATAAGCAAGGTTATGTTTCAAATGTAATGAACTAAATTGACCAAACGCTAACACCCAAAACCAGATTTACTCCTGGTTTCTTTCTCTTAACTGAGTAGCCATTCACTGTGTCCCATCCACTGCATAGTGATCATTTTGTTTGACATGTCGGTTGGCCTTGCTCTGAAAATGCTCTGTAGAAGAGTTGATCTTAGAGCTGGGTTGTTGAGAGTAACAGTGAAAAAGGCACCGCATCACATGGCTGAAGACAAGGGGAGGCTGTCATCAGCACCACTTTCCCCACAGAGAAGGTAGAAGCAGGAATGCAAGCAATGAATCAAACCAACATAGAAGATGGTTGTGAGTTCACCTTTTTATACACCAGGAAGAAGGAACATTAGGAATCATGGCCTTTGCAAGGTGTTTAGGTCATGAGCATAGTCTTTGAGAATGAAGTTTGTGACTTAGAAAAGTGACAGTTTGTGACTTAGAAAAGTGTGACCCCCAGCTGGGGATGTAGCTTAAAGGTAGACTGTTCAGTTGCATGGGGCTCTGGGCTCAATACTCAGTACCAAAATAAGGAGAGAAAGACAAAGAAGAAAGAAGGAAGGGAGCTAGGGAGAGAGGGAGAGGAAGGGAGGAAGAAGTGGGAAGGAGGGAGAGGAAGAGGAGGAGGACAAGAGGCCCCTGGGAGTTGCCTTGCCTTTCACATGGAGGTGGAGCCACAGCAAGGAGCCACCTATAGGAAAGCAGCCCTCACCAGACATCCATTCTGCCAGCATGCTGACCTGACACTTCCAGAATTCTAAGAGGTAAATCTGTTTTTGTTAAACTGCCGGTGTGGGACATTTCGTTTTAGCAGTCCCAGCTAACTGAAACCACCACCCTCCTTCCATGGCAAAGCCAAGGTGAACAGAACTGGTTTTCCACACAAAGCTATGAATTATAGGTCTTACAAATGCTGTGCTGATGGTTTTTCAAGGCAACAGGAGGACTCTACTTGAGGGAGTCCAAAGAGGCCTCATAGGGGGAGCTCAACTGTCTATGAAGTAACATAGTGACATGGCTGTATCTTCACACAGTGATTTTAAGAATGAAATGGAATGAGAAATGAGCTCTTCCTAGAAGAATCAGGCACTGGAAAGACTGAACTGTGGTGATATTGTGTTCCCCAAAATATTGTGTACCCTAATAAACTTATCTGGGGGTCAGAGAACAGAAAAGCCACAATATTAAACATAGAGGATAGGCAGTGGTAGCACACACCTTTAATCCTAGCATTCCAGAGGCAGAAATCCATGTGTTCAAGGATACAGCCAAACATGGTGACTCACGCCTTTAATCCCAGAAATCAAGTCTTTAATCCCAGGGAGTGATGGTAGAAAGCAGAAAGATATATAAGGCATGGAGACCAGAAACTAGCAGCATTTGGCTGGTTAAGCTTTTAGCTGGTTAAGCTTCAGGCTTTCGAGCAGCAGTTCAGCTGAGAGCCATTCGGATGAGGATTCAGAGGCTTCCAGTCTGAGGAAACAAGACCAGCTGAGGAGCCGGCAAGGTGAGCTAGCTGTGGCTTGTTCTGGTTCTCTGATCTTCCAGTTCACCCCAATACCTGGCTCAGGCTTGATTTTATTAATAAGAACTTTTAAGATTCCTGCTACACTGAACTGAATGGAGTTGCATTGCCAACTCTCCTTTTACCTGAGGCCGAGATAAACAATGAAACTCAAAGCTGCTTATTAATTCACCCATTTCTAAGCTTCCCACCAAGTGCAGAGGGGGTGTGGAATGGACACTGATCTGAACAAGGCAGAACCCTTTTGCCGTTATCTTTCCTTTTTTAGGATTGTGATGGTGTTGGGGTTTGGGGAGAGATCTACCAGAAATGCAGAGAACAACCAAGAGTCAAGGTTGAAGGCAAGGTGGGATGAAATGAGAAGAACATTCTGCATTGTGCAGAAAGTGGCTGGAAATCCTGCAGAGGAGATGGTCCAGTACATGTACATGTGTTGATGTCAGCAATTCCCAATTTAAAACACGAGTCTCATAGCATAAACAATTTTGATCTGTGATCTTATTCATTTCAGTTTGTGCAACAGTAGAAATAAAGAGAACTGAGACACACCCTGTCCTGGCTGAGTAGTCGTCTTCCCATCTGTCCATGTTGGAATTTGCTTGCGATTGCAGTAGTGTTGGAGGGTGAGCCTTTTAAAATGAGGTTAAAACCCTTAGATGTGAAGCTCAGTAACATACACTGAGCATGCACAAAACCTGCATTAAATTCCCACTATAAACAAAATTTTAATAAGTGATTAGGTCATGAAAAGTGATCAATGCAGTTCTTTGCAGGCTTAGGAACCGGGCCATTACACTGGAATGTGTTCTTTTGAAATGTGCCCTCTCCTCCTGTTCTGCCTCTTTGTCATGTGCTCTCTTACCTTCCACTTTTCTCCCAGGCTGTGAACAGCACTAGGTTCTTCAAACCACCAGAGGATGCCAGACCTTCCAGCCTTCCAAACCCAGAAGCAAAATAGATCTTTTTTCTTTACAAATTACCAAGCCTCAGGTAATCTTCTACAGTGATGAAAACCTAGCAAAGCCACATCCTAAGAGGGTTGGAATGTTTTATCAACTGGAGAGAGGGAGCATGTGATTAACCAGCACCTCTATACACAGAGCATTTGAGGAATATAATGGAGGTCACTTCAATGGCTGGTCATTTAGACAGCTTTTAAAAACTACATTACAGCACAAAACACTCAAGATTGTACTGGCCGGCTGTGAGAAGACCCACTTCATGAACTAGATGTTAAAAGCACCCTTGGAACAAAGAAACTATTTAAATGGCAATCCATCCCAGGTATATCCCTTCAGTAACTCTGTAAGTTGGATATGGGACTCTCTGGTAAATCTACTTTTAAGTCAAGCCATGACTAGTGACAAATGTCTATGATAATGCCACACAGTTTCTAGTACTTAGATGTTTTTGGCAGAAGCCAATGGTACATTAGCTTGAATATAGTTTTATTATTTAATTATGAACTGAGCAGACAAAACATATACACATGGTTTTGATTACTTAACACAGTTTAGTTAAAATTTCAGATTACAGAGATATTCACATAAAGATATTCTGTAGCTACTAAGTAATGGCTGTAAGCTGGGGAGGATAAGAATCAATATTTGTCACTTGGGCACTTAATGACTCTGAATTGATTAGGTAAAAAATATCATGGTGATCATGCTGTAATTCCAAGTAAATTTGCTTGTTGTAGGGATCTCACCCCCAAGTCCTCCCACGGTGTGTGTGTGTGTGTGTGTGTGTGTGTGTGTGTGTGTGCGTGTGCGCGCGCGCCTGAACATGTATTTGGATTTGGAAATGGATAAATCCATGCATATGGAATACACTTATGTCATGGGGTGTACCTTAATGTAAAGTCATGATGAAGTCTCTTTCAGCCACAGAAAATAGGGCACCTCAAACTGGTTTGTACCTTTGTGTGGCTCCGGCAAACTCCATCACCATCTGTTTAAATGCCAGTGACTTTAAGGTCCAAATGTCTAAGTGGGATTCAGTTAGATCCCCTAGGAACACCAAGAGGCTCCCAGCCTTGGGTCTTCACAGACCTTCCAAGGGTTTCAGCATCATGGAGGGTCCCCCGTCTCAGCAGCAATAGATGATACGTGTTTTCATGGGAGCTTTGTACCAGGCATTCTCTCCCCATCTCCCCCCTTAATTGACCTCTTTTAGGTGAGTCACAAAAAGATACACTGTCCGCCTTCCTGTCCTACCAAACCTTCTCTCTTACTGGGGATGAGACGGGAGGGGGGGGAGGGGATTGTTGCTGAGTGACACCCAAGTGCAAAAGGTGATGGGATGAAGAACAAACTGCCTGGATCCGGACAGGGCCTGACTACAGGGAAAAGAAAACATTTCTGAGTTCCCAGTCAAGGCACTCTAATGGCCATATACAATCTAAGCCTACGGAAGACACGGGTGACGTAAACCCAAAGCAGTAGAAGAAGTTGATGGTGTTCCAGCCTAGAACTCCACGTGTCTTGCTTTTGGGAGACTAAACCTAGGGGTGCAGGTATCTAAGGTTACAGGCGTGGAAGGAAGTGTGCACAGGTCCTAATCATGTGGCTACAGTTTTTACCATGAATGTGCCCTGGTACATTTTCACCAGTTTAGCAGTCTGTCTTCCAGGAATTTGCTTTGATCAAAATTCTCTCCTTCACCTGTAAGAGAGAAGAAAAAAAACTTAAAGTGAATGCTCACATTTTTGGCTTTAGAGAGAGAAATAGAACCTCAAGAAATGGGTATTTGACTCCTAAAGTTAAATCAATTCATGGTCCATGCTACTAACAATTCTTTTAGATATTGGATTTTGATTTGCTTGGTTTTAAAATTTCCCCCCTCACTAGAACACAGCTGACAATTCACATTTTATATCCACTATCTATGTATCTGAGGATATACTTGAACTTCTGATCTTCCTGCCTCCACTTCCCAAGTGCTGGGGTCACAAACATATATCACCATGCTTCTTATGCAGTACTGGGAGTTGAACCCCAGAGCCTTGTACATGTTGACTCTACCAACTGAGCACTCCATGAACTGAGCTACATCCCAGCCCCCAACATCCAAATCTCTACAATAAGTGAAAGTGTAATATGGCAAGCATGGCAGACATGTAAAGGGTCTGTATATCTTGCACTGATTATCATGCCTCCAGTCTAAACACCTGCCTTCATAGCCATTCACTTGCATCAAAATGTTATGGCCTGTGTTTCCTGGTGATATATCTCTTGCATGAGACAGATGACATGGGGACACACTTGAAAATATCCCTTCATCAGTTGATTGCTTCTGGGTAAACAATGAGACCAAAGGCAAAGGCACCTGTTAGTTGGATGGGAATACAAAGATGTCAGGCCGAGAGTGTCTCATAAGATTAGAGGTAGATGGTAGACAGTAGCAGAATCATGGTACCCTAAGCATAAAGTAGGGATGAAACATGATGTGGGGTAGAGAGGAGTGGCTGAGGCAGCATTCATGCCCTAGATTTTACTTTCTCCAAGATTGCCTTCTAGATAAAACAACAATCTCTTAGTTAGTCACAATATAATTTGAATCCTGGCCTACCTCAATTACTCACAGCCTTTGAAAGATAGATAATCAATAATGTGCTTCTTCTAGAGGGAAGGAAAGTGTGGACATATGGATACATAGAAGCACACATGCCTAAGGGGTGGGGTGGGACAGAAAAAATGTCTCAGTACAAACGCCATTGGAACTTAAGATGTAAGAGCCTTCCAGGTGATACATAGGGACTCTGCAATAAAAACATTACAGACTAGTGATTGACACATCATATGGGAATCCAAAACTCCTCCATTTATTTAAATTAATAAAACTGCTTCTTTAGTTCATCTCCAGAGACAAGCTACTCAGAACATGTCAATCATTAGGGCTGGTGAGGTGGCGTAGCACATACAGGCTCTTGCTGCCAAGCCTGACAATCTGATTTCAGTTCCTGGGACCAACATGGTGACTCCAAAGTCATCCTCTGACCGCCACAATGTGTGACTCCACACAATGTGGTGTGAATGTACCCCACACCTAAGTAAATATGTGAAAAAAAAAAAAAGCTCATTTCAATAATCAACACATTTACCTGCTTCTCCCAAATACTTGAAATGGGGACCTAGAATGGTATCCCTTCTCCCCCTTAAAATGAACTCTCCTTTCTCTATTGTAGCCTGGTGTCTGGCTCTGTCCATCTTCCCAACACTCATATCTACCGTCAGTCAGCCACAGTTCTTTTCCTAAGGAGCTCAAGACTTGGTTATGGTTTCACAACTTGAAATTAAAACCAGTCCTCCTGACGCAACATCCTCTGTCTCCTACCCAGCTTCTTCTTACTTTTCCCATGTCCAGCTGATGATGTCTTCTCTTAATAATAGGATTGGGACTGGAGAGATGGGATCATTCAATAAAGTTTTCATGATGACCTGAGTTCAGATTCTGAGCACTCACATAAAAGCCAGACATGATGACACATGGCAGTAACCCCAGTAATGTGGTGCCAAGACAGGCAGATCTTTGAAAGCCCACTGACCAGCCAGATAGATGAATTAGTGAGTTCCAGGTTCAGTCAAAGACCTGTTTTAGAGACTAAAGTGGAGAGTGACTGATGAAGACATCCAATGACAACATCTTGTCTCCACATGCATGTACACACATCTGTGTACACACACACACACACACACACACACACATACACACACACACACACACA